TGCTGAAGCTTTATAGAGAATTATCTTCAAGGAGATCTATGAGCATACGCTTTTGCTTATTTTAGAATACTCTTTTTTCGATTGACATATGTTCAGTAATTGGATGAAGTTGTTTCTCATTGAAGGCATCTTTTGTGAAAAACTCTAATATATCCTGAAGCTGAATTACTAGCAAACTCCTTTTTAAATCAGCAAAATACCTAGAGCCTTCGGTCCATTGGTGATGCGAGACTGAGTAGTTTGATGCGGTGTTGAACGCCAGCCAACCCCACCAGATCATGAGAAATCCTTAAATTAGTGGTGAGATTTACGATTTATTAATGTAGTTTTGTGATTTCTAATTACGGTCCAATATGAGAACAGAAACGATCCTATCTGATTCTAATCAAAAATCGACTTTTGAATATAGTATTAAAATGTACTGTTACCCAAAATAGCCTTCGTAGGATCGCTCATTTGCCGAGCTCTTTTCTCCTCAAATCGATACCGACGAGGTTTCAGGTAAAGGGTAGCCACCAGACCTGAGACGCCACCAACGAGATGGACCTGAGTTACATGAGTCATCTTCCTCGATCTAACAATGGAAACTCTTTTTCTAGCCCACTCACCGCACTGCATCCAGCCGAATCGACAACACCCATTGACCGGAACACCCCGTTGCGATGCCAAACCCAGTGGCCTGCTACCGAGTGCACTAAGGTGATGAAGAAGGATACGAAACAATGCGACTGTAGGTGAATGCGTTCTGCCATGCCTGCTGAAAATACCGGGAACATGACGTGTTATCAGGGCAAGACATAGAATTAATCCCTTTGTCCCCTCCTTGGTGTACTGATTCCTGAGCGAAGTCAAAGCACAATTGGATATTCAAAAATCAACTCTTTGTTTTTGGATACTTTTCTGCATACGCTCGCCGGGAAATATTTTATGCTCGTAATTTATAACGCTCAACTACAAAAGATCCTCTTAAAAAGTAAATCATGCCCATAAAGAAGCTTATTTTGGACGTCGTGGATTAGCAAATTTTACTTCACAATAAAAATGGCAACGAATCCTTTTATTGATTTAAACAGCCTTTAGACTCGCCATATTCAGTTATGTCAAAATTTATTACTGAAATGTCGCTAAATCGGAAACTTTGCAAAAAACGGAGTAGGTAGCAGGCTGAACAATAGTTTGAATATTGCAGATGTTATCAGTAACCGTCTTGAAGACGAGAAGAGCTGTTGGTAACATTGCAGAATTGCTAATTACTAATTACAATAAATTTCGCCCAAAGACTTCCCATAAGATAAAAAGAATCGTTACAGGAGCTGCTCATCTCAATAAAAATGATGATGTGACAGTTCTTAGCAAAATCAAAGTTGCCTCGTGCCTAATACTTTTTGCAGTTGGCCTTTATATTTCGCACATCCTTCCACTTGAACTTACGCTAAGTTTTACAAAATTGTTCTACGTACCACAGCAGTATTTGATGTCTAACTAAAAAATTACGTTTGAGAAATTTACATATGCTGTTTAAATTTCAGGTGTCTGTTATATTTGGACGTAAACTTCTACGATTTCGTGATCTGGTGAGGAATGTTTCTATTTACAAAAAAAGGTGACACAGCCATTTAAACAGAAACTTATAGTAATGTAGCTCAGTGCAAAAAAAAATAG